ACCCAGACCACATGATCTGAAAAATACTTAACTTCTATATATATGGTAGTGCTGTAATGTTCCTTTGACATTTAACATCTTTAAGCAGGTTTATTTTTTATTCTTTTGCAGTGGGCCTGTTCTAGAACATTGTGATAAATTTGATTCCAACACTAAGTCTTGTGAACAGTATGATACATCATCAGGTAACGTTTAAAGTTGATATTTTCTTTCATTTTATGTATAAGCTTCTTATAAACTGTAACTGATGGTTCAGTAATTTCTGTTGTATTCAGCTTGTCCAGAACAAATGCGGATTTTATTGGCTGTGGTTACATTTCTGTCCAAGTAGGTGGTACACTATGCCAGCTTTATGTTGTGTTAGCTTTGGAAGAACAAGCCCTCCAGGGTTTGGCATCAAGCCTACTGGGATAAAGTTATCGCTCCAAAATATTTTGAACACATTTTTCAGGCTCTGTTTGTACCAGTTTGATGTGTTGCCATGTGATGGTACTAAATGCAATCACTTCAGGCCACCCTGGACCAAAGTGTACAGCCCGATGGCCTGTTCACCCAAGAATATTTTGGTTTGGGGTGTTTTGTTTGGTTGGTTTGGTTTGTGGTGTCTGGGGTTTTTTTAAAGTTTTATTTGTTTGGTTTGGATTTTAAGTTTCACAACAGGAGTTGCACATGTTGTCATAATGAACATGAGCCCTGGAGATAAAAAGTCATTTTGTTAGTGTTTTAGAGCCAAAAGTGAATATGCGAATGTTATTAGTTCATGCAGTGCTTTCTTCAGAGACTTAATTTTGTGTGTGTTCTTGTAAGAAGTTTATTCTAAAGCTAGGTTTGAGTGATATAAAGCTGATCGACCTTGCACTTTGTCATAATTTGCCAATGTGTGTTTTATCAAGAGGGATAGGTCTGAGGAATATTTACTTGAATATATAGTTTTCATGTAATTTTCAAGCTTACTGATTGCATATACTGCTTATCTACATTGGGTTTCATACATGTTTATAGCAAAATGTGTTAAGAGGGAACACTATCATTGGGACTTGTATTACCCTTGGTTGCTTTTAGTGGGTATATTGAATAAAAGTCAGGAATAGTAAATGCCTATGGTGGTGGTTTTTTGAATGTGTTTACAGAGACTTTTGATGACCTGAATTACAAAGTGAGAGATCCATTGTCAGACAACATAGCAAGGCATAAAATAGGTAAGATTATTTAAAATATCATAATGTAAGTGTGTAAATACAAATGTATTTCCAACTTGATGTAAAGTTTGCTGAAGGAGACTGGGCATGCAGCTGCACACTGAGCTACCTGCACTGAATGTATTCCTAAACAACTGAGTCAAGACAAACCCACAGTTCAGTGAGAACAGTAGGAGTTTGTATTAGTTTTACGCAGTATAACTGACGGTGCAAATAACCTGCCTTCTGTGGTGGTCTGAGTCTGGATAGGATGGAACAATGTGTGTGCAGTCGATTGCAGTCCTGTGCTTGTCTGTTTTATATTGGGGTTTTTTTATGGCCTTCATTATTATTTTATGCACAACACTTTAGTTGTCTACCTTCAAAAACTATTTCATCAAGTTTTTTATATTTACCATTTTTAACATTTAAATATCTTGACTAATTTGCTCTTAGCTCTTAAAGGGCTTTTATTCTTCCTTACAAATAGTAAAATATATATTACTGTATTCATATATGGCAGCTTAGACAACTTGAAAGTTGAGACTATATAATAAGTACATCTGAAGATAAATATCTGAGAAATCTTGGAAATACATGGAGTTTCTGTTGGCAGAAGTGCCATTCTTCTGGACCTCAGAAATGGGACTTGTGAATCTGGAAGAGGAGGAGCTGCGTATGCAGTCTCTTACTCTCCCCTTGCCATAACTAAGGCAGTGCCTTTTCACTGTTGCTAATGAAATCCCTCAGATTTGGGCTGGGTCCTTAGTCTTTGTCAAGAGCTTTGTCTTCACAGTTGTAACATGTTTTCTGTCCTTGTGCTTGAGCTCCTAAGGTCCATGTCTCAGTGATTCACTAAGATACATAGAACTAAGTATAATATAAAGTCAGTGTGGTGATTGTTTAAGAAAAAGGAGAGTGAAATAGTGATGTATGCAAAAGAGAGCTTTTGTCAATATTTGGATCCCATTTTCCTGTCACGATAGCAATGTGATATAAATATCAGCTGGGAAGTGCTGACCCCCCCCCTTGTGATACAGCAAAACAGGAAAGGATACTTAATATTTTCCATCTCTGAATTTTCCTTTCATGTTTAATATGAATTATGTCATCCTTCAAATTAGTAATGCCTTCCAACACACCTAACGTTCGTCGAACGAAAAGGATACGGCTGAGACCTCTGGAATATTGGAGAGGCGAGCGCATAGACTATACTATGAACTCTTCAGGTATTAGTTCCAAAATACCTATTTGCTTCCTTCTGATGGGGCAGTAAAGAAAAATCTGTGGGTTGATCTTGTGCCATGAGGACTTTGAGAGGCTTACTTTTGGGTATTTTTTTTTTAAAGATTATTTATGGTCACTAGCTATTTAGTCACCTTTCCATGTAGTCCTTTTCATTCCTGATATTCCCTTGTCAGCTGAAAATAGCATCAGGAGAGTATGTTAAGTTACTTTGCCTTCACTGTTTAGAGAAGAACAGAACAGTTTCTCTATACTAGTAGGCTAATTACATCAGAGATTGTGTATGATACTGGAAAAAGAGACAATCTGCTGGATCATTCATTGGAGCATTTCTCTTTGTGTGACGATTGTTTTCCAGAGCAGATACTCTAATATTTTATCCAGTCTCAGTGTTAAATTCCCTAAGTGAACAAATATATCTTGTTCTCTTGGATTTTTTCTGACCAATGCAGCCTAATACTTTGTCTTTTCTTAATTAATTAATTTGCTTGAGAATAGTATTTCTTTGTGTTCCTAAAACTGATATTTTTTCTTTAAAAATTGTTTTCATATCATGGCTTTCTGAAATGCTCTGTGACTGAAATTTGATAAATATTATTTTCAAAATATCTCAAGTTGCCTTGGACTCCAAAATACTTAATAATGAAAAGCTTTTTTGGTTTGTTCTGGCTTTCTAAAGCTATCTGAAAATTTCAGCATCAAGGAAGTATATTCTCGGTTAAAATGCTTGTTGGTTGTGTAAGTTTTTAAGGTTACTGTGAGTTAGCAAGCTTTGTTTAACTTCCTTTTGTTTCAGAAGGGCTTGTGATTAGTGGATTAGTGCATCCAGAAACACAATCTCACAGTAAGAATAGACAGAGGAAGGATCGTCACAAGCAGAAAGCCAACAAAACAAGTATGAACACAGACTTTTTCCCTTTTGATACTTAAAAACAAAGTTATCTATAATCAAATACTCTATTGCTGTAAGATATTCCTCCTGTAACACTTGATTCTCTCTGTGGATGAGAATAATTTTATAACAAAATCTATTAATGTGATGTGGAAAAACCTGTTCTTACTTTATCTGTAGCAATGCTGTATATTCTTGTTATAAAAATGTTAACTTCTCAGAAGAAAAGAAGAAATACAGAACATACCCAGAAGTGTTGTTGTGCCTTTAAGGCAGGGGTAGAAAAAAAATAAAGTGTACTTCTGTTTGTGTTCAGATCATGATGCTAATGTGCACAGTTAAGGTATAAAAACTTGTGGTTGTTTTACTGATACCTGTAATATCACATCTAAAAAAGCAGTATATGGTGTTAGGAGAGTCTCAAGCTTTTGTAGGTTAAATACAAAACCACAACATGGTAGGTGAAGAGGGAGCTTTAAGAACAGTGCATAAAATGGTTCAAAGTGGGCAATAAATCTGTGTTTAAACAAACAGGAAGAGGAAACTTAGCTAGAGCCTCTGTGGCCAGAAGATAATAAATATTTAGGTAGTGTTCAGAAAAGAGAGTCAAAATTCAAATGCCAAATTATTTTTGCTGTGCAATCTGGAAGATGTTTCAATGTTGAAGAACCTTTCTTTGTGGGGACTGTCTAGAACTGTTGTTTGAAACCGAAACATTTCTCTGTGAAGTTATAGAACTAATAAAACAAATGCTAACAAGAATGGATAATGCCATATGGTCCTAACACAGTTCTAAAACAAATCAGGGCTGAAATAATAATCAGAGAAATAAGGAAGAAAATGGTCACTGTTGGTAAAAATATCTGATTTTCTAGAGTGTTTCATGTGAATTTTATCCCTTAACTCAAGAAGAAAGTGGTAGGACTAGAGAAGGTTCAGGGAAAGCTCATCAAAAACATGAAAGGACTTCTGTGCAGAAGCAACTACATAGTGAAGACTCCTCAACCCTCAGGGGAGTTCTGTGGCGGCCTGAGAAAGACCTATAAAATCACAAGTGGTGTGGAGAAGGGAAATAGGAATAAATTGTTTTATTGGCTTTTTTTTTATATGTTTGTTTTTAAACACAAGAACTAGAAGGTGTGGCAAGAAGATATGGAGAGCTGAGTTCTTTAGCAGAATAAGGTGGCCATTCTCACTATGTGCTTCTTGCCCCATAATATTGTGGACAAAAATATTTGTGTAGATTCAAGACGAGATCTAGATACATTAACAGGAGACTTAACTGTCTAAATATGTATGAGCTCCAGGTTAGAGGTGGGAAGTATTCCATGGAAGTGCCATTGCTCTGTTATGGCATTTTTGGGGATGGAAGGAGTACCTGCTTTTGGCCACTGATGGGAGACAGAATCCTGGTCTAGATCAATCAAGTACAGTTTATGTTGTAATATAAATAATTTGCAGCGCATGTGAACCTGAGCTGGTAGTGACTGTTTATGTTGTATCTTACAAGAGCTATTGGTTGCTTTGGGTGCATTTGAACTGTCTTCCAGAAGTGATTGATTTCCTCTCTAACAGACATCCATCCTCAGAGATCCTTTGCTCACATCCTTCAGTTTTAGTGATGCATATAGGGACTGTCAGCTGAGTAAAATTTCTAGCACGAATTCTCAAATCTTATTGATACAATAAAAATTCTGTTGTTATAGCTATAGAGTTACACCTGATGCTGCTTCTCTTTATACAGAGATGGTTATGTTGGAACAGAGCTGTTCAAACACAGCAACTTTCTTCCTACCTCTGACTGTCTTGGTGTAAGGGTATTTAAGCAGCCATGAGTGCCTACAAAGTGCAACAGCTTGCCTTTAACATGCTGCTTCTGGTTGCATTTAAAGAAATTTCCTGTGCACTGTAGAGCTAAAATTGTCTGCTTATGAGAATTCTGCAAGAGAGCTTTGGGATATTCTGTTGTGAACATTTTCTAGCATCTATTTTCTGTTTGAAAAGCGTAGAGTTGTCATTGATTCTTAGGATATTTCCTACTCTGGAAAAATCCTTTTTATTATATCCTTTTTATTATAGAAATAGTTCTCAGATTTACAACATACAGTGAGATTCCTGTAATGGTATTTCTTGAGAAAAGGAAAATTGGACATGCGCTTAGTCTTTACAATGCTTTATCTCTTAAATCTCCTTTATCAGCAATAGGTAAAAGCAAAAAAACTTAGTCTTCATCCTGTATTTTATATCCTCTCAGCATCTGTTGCTAGAAAAGCACTTCTCTGAAAATACAGATACTTCTGAATAAATACTGTTGTTAATAGCACAGGATAAATAGTTGGCATTCCCCTGGGAAATTTCTTAGGATTTAGAGAGCCTTCATCTATTACACACAGAAATGATTTCAATGAAAATTACATTTTCAAGGAATTGTTATGGATGGTTTCCTTTTATTTAAATGAAGTGTATTCAGTCTGTTTAGTTCACTTATTAAAACAAGTTTAAGTACTTAACATGTGACATTAGAATTGTGGAAAAGTTGTAGTTAAATAAGTTTTTAAAATGCATAGTGATAATTTCTCTGATTTTGTTTTGGTTTCTTTGTTTCCTCAGATAGAAGAGAGATACCTGCAAGTTTGGATCACAACCTAGCTGATACTTCTAAGCCAACCATTGTACTGGACCCAGAAACAAATGAGGAGGTAGTTCTAGGTGAGTTGAAGGATGTGGCCGAGGGACTTTGTGAATTATATAAGCTGTGTTTAGACTGATAAGAAAAAAAAATTGTTCATGCCACATTGGGCATAAAAAGGTAAACTATTGAAATATTCATTGCTCTTCTGGAGAAAGTTCTGAGGAAAACAAAAAGTGTCTTGATTTTTCAGCTAAATACTGAATATAGCTTTTAAAGGTGTTGCACTGAAACAATATGGAATGCATTGAGCAAATAACAAGACTAATTATATGATAGCATTAATGCTAATCTCCTGGACTTTTTTGTAGAATGTGTTAACACTGAAAGCAGTCACGCTTGCTCCTTCAAAGACGAAGCGGTAGAAATATACAAAAATCTGAATACATCTGTTTTTGCAACTGGTAAATTGATTTTGAAACCACTTAAGGAAAAGGGACACCAGTTTGTCCACATGGATACAATAGTAAGTGTGCTTTTTTCTTATTTTTATAAAACTGACTGTGTAAACAGGAGATCTTAGTGTGGTTGGAAGTAACATATGAAGCTGACGGGTTTTTCAGGGGTTTTCCCTCCCTTAATGCGCATAAACGTTAATGAATCATTTGCCAGAGGTACTTTGCATGCACATTGCCCTCTGTGTCATACTAAATCTTTATGTCTATGTGCACTTACTGTCTAGATCTTGCAGGCAAGACAGAAGTAACAAATAAATAAGATGACCCCATCCCCCTTTTGAGTTGTGCATCTTATTTTTCAGCAGTGTGGGGGAAAAAAGGGATTGCAGTTCTGCCAGCTTATTTTGTTTTTTATCTTTGTTACAACATGTGTGCAAATGTTTTCTGGGATAACTTTCTTAAATGTTTGCAAAGGAAGCATTGCTAATCTTAGAATCCTTTGGCTTTCATTAAGGCTTTCCATATTATCCGTGGCAAAATTATTGTTACATTACATAAGACATCATATTATCTGACTACAGGAGACTCCTTTTATGTTCCTCCAGGTGAGTACATGTGTCTAAAACCAATTTGTTGGAGGTGGTTGAGACTGAATTAGCGTGCTAGGAATCAAAACCAAACTTAATGACTGAAAGAGAGATGGAATAGAGAGTGGGAAGGTATAGGGTTATGGAGATGGAATGTGACACAACACTGGACATGGGTTGATAGTCTAATTGTTGAATGCAGTGACTCACATGCTGCTTGTTTGTGTGAGTTGGCCTCAGAGTTTTGATGACACTACCAAGTTCTAAGAGTAAATTTCTCTTGGTATTCTGGTTCTGTCACTAGCTATAATGTTGGGAAACATCACAGACAGCTTAATATAGTGGTAGCTAATATAATTGTTTTGATCATCATCTGCTTGCTGTTTTCTTCTATGTAAAATTATGAAAATCCATTTGGGTCAGTTCTCCATATTTTGTGCTTTGTGCTTGATATATGGAAGGTGCAGAATGTCTTGTTGAATGGGTCGTAACTTTGTATGAGTTGTTGAGCATTTAAAGACCTGATTTTTGTCCTTCTAATGTAAAAGTAACATGAATTCCATATGGGAAGCTGTCCATCAGTGGTTTAAGATACTAATCAGAAGATTTTGTAGTACTTGTAAAGCAAGCTGTTCATGAAGCTGTAGAAAGCTTTTGTATGGCTTTCTTCTGAAGAGGCTGTTTTAGAAAATGACAAGTTAGCCCTTTTTCTCTGTTAACTTTTCAGCACGATGTCCTGGTTGAGCAATCATTGTTCAATTAATGCTTGATGCTTTAAAGCTTTTTTTTTTTGGTGTTTATTCTTAAAAGTTTAGGGCGTCTGCAGAGGCAGTTTTTTGCTTTTTGGGATATTGGATTATATAAAATGCTGGAAGTTTCATAGGACCATAAGGATATATAGTTCATCTCCCATTCCTCCCTGCTTCTTCCTGGCTGGTCTTAGTATGGCTGGGTGGGCAATGCAGTGTTTGTGGCAGGTGATCTCTGTAAGTCATTGTGTGGCTCTATATGAATGTTAGGATGTTGCTCATTCACAAAGCCTATTAGATGATTCTATTTTGTGGTTATGTTAATGAGCAAATCTCAAGTGAAGATCTGCAGGTAAGTTTTCATTTTATTGATAGTTTATTATGCAGATTTTATTGATCGTTTCTATAGGAATAAATAAAACTCAGTCACCTTAAAGTTTTATTGTGGGTTTTGAGAGCTGAGAGCTCAGGCCTGTTACATTCTTTTCAGTAAAAATTTTCTAAGCAAAGATGCACTTTATTCTTACCACAGGTTAAAATAGGTGACACTAGCTGTATTCCTTGTCATCTTTTTGACATGCAATGACCTTTCTGTAAGAGTGGCATCCTAGATTAGGAGCTAATTTTTCTCCTGCTAAAATATATGAAATAAAAATACACTTGGCTGAAGATAGGACAGAACTCGAAAAATTGCTAGTGGCTCCTAAAGAAAACTTACTCTTTTTATTTGTAGGAAATGGATATAACATACGTAATCTTCTGAACGAAGAAAGTATTCTTCTCTTCACGCAACTCAAAGTCAGGTGAAGAACCTTCTGCAGAGAAGTTTGCTGAAACACTTGTCAAGCTTTTGTATGTTCTGGAGTTCTTTTTACATACAAAATTGTTTGAGTGTGCCCACCTTAACATTACAGATTAAAACAGAGCAGGTGAAGTCAACATAAGAGTTGGGAACAAAACCAAAAGAACCTCAGTAGTTTGCTTTCAAACTAAAATGAGATACTGAAGGGCCTCACTTTGCATCAATTACTGTTCTTGTGCCATCCAGTGACAGAAAGATAAAAGTATAAAATGTGTGGGTATATTTATTGTTCCAAATTGTATCAATATGCTTAATCTCCCTAAAGATGCTTAGCACTTGAAAAAATGTTGACATCTTCAGCTAACATCTGATAGATAGTCTTAACAACTGCCTGGTACAAACTGCTTAGAATAATCTCTATTTAAATGATGAACCTGCTGTTTGCATTCCAGTAATTGTTGTCTGGGAGATGGGCTGCTGAAATGTTTGTGTGCTGGGGTCCAGCCGCCTTCTAAATATGCTAATGACAGGCATTTGTTCCTTGTCTGGCAGCTGTATGATTAGTGCCTCTGGTTCCAATAGTAAAGCAGGAGCTTTTAAGTAGGAGCTTATCAGTTGTGTCTTTTGTGTGGAAGCTGTGGCCTGATTAGCTCTGAACATTGTTGATAGCTTTATTTTGTGTAACAGTGATAGGTCATTGCCAAATGTATTACTTTAATAGCTCCTTTTGATTTCCTTGCTGTGTTCGGGGTAGTAATAAGGACCTCTGGGAAAGCTGTAATTATACTGTATACTCCAGAAGCCAAGTCTAGACACCAGATGGTATACATAGCATTTGTCTCCCAAGCTCTTCAAGGTTCCTTCTGACTGAAGATAAACTACAGCTATTCTGATGGGATGGTTTCTCTCTCTGGTCACTGCTGTCCTCAAAGAGAAGGAGATAAGGAAAATTGAATTGGAATAGAGAACTTTTAAAGATTTGAGGATTGAGTATTGACCTCATAAATGATTTTGGCCATGATCTTTATGCTAAATCTAGAGTATGCATTAAAGTAGGAAAAATGAATTGGCTTTCAGCTGCCAGCTAACTTTGTGTGTCTGTGAAAGGGCTTGGACACCAAGACTTCCATGCTTCTGTGAAAGATCCTTTAGACTGGGGAGTCTGAGATAATACTTTTTGTCATTCTCTTTCAAGTAGTAATTTCTGTAGCTAGTGCATACTGACAGTGGAAATACTTGGTATGGGTTATGTGACATCTTTGCATTCATGGCTGGGTCACATGTAACTGGAAAATGAAATAGGAACATGCCTTTTGCCATTTAGTTCTGCCTCTGTCTTGATATGAACTATTTGTATCAGAGTTCAGACTACACAGAAGGAACTTTTTTCCCAGCTTCAACTTTTGTAAGCAGTTTGAGTTAAAATAAAAAAAAAAGTCATTTAGTTACTAAATATGAGTTTGATGTTGACAGCTTTTCTGAATTTTGCACTTGAAATGGTCTCTTCGAGATCAGAAAGATTCAAATACTGTCCTTTCTGTCTTGAAGCCATACCAGCTACCACTCGGGCATATATGCTGTCTCCACTGCTTTAAGGAATCCCACCCACTAAAATGTTTAGTTTTTAAATCTTTCAACTCCTCAGGCCTGCAGAGGTCTGGAACTTTGCCGCTTGGAAAACGAGTAGAGGGCCACCATTAAACTCAAGTCTCTGCTTCTAACCCAAGCACGTGTCCCCGTAGTCAGGCCATGGATGCCATGGTCTCTGATCCCAGCAGCTCATCGGTTCCAGTTGAAAGTCAGAACAAGAAAACTTTGCAGTTGTGTTAAAGGCCAGGGAATTTAGAATGAAAATACTCTGCGAGTTTTCTTCAGTGTTACCTGTCTGCAGATTGAGTAGCAGAAGGATGGATACTTTGTTAAGGGTTAGTGAATGTGTATGGACTAGGGAGCTCATGGCCCTAAAGGAAAGCATGGATGATGTTGTGACAGAACTCAGCAGACTGTTGCTTGCCAGTGATGTGTTTTCATTTCGTGGACTCAAATGAGAAGTGATACGTTACCCTTCTCATATCAGGCAGTGATGTGTCTTCCCCCACTGCACTGTACAGGCACTCTGCAGCAAGGTTTTGAGTCGATTTTCTTTTGGGTCAAGAGTAAATGGTGAGAAATATGTCCTTCAGGATGCTTCCTTAAGCAGAAGTAACGTGCAGACCTTTTCCTGACACAGGCTGGAAAGTGCGGGTGTTCAAATGCAGGTTTGAGGTCAGCATGCCTGTTTGTGTTTTCCTAATTCTAAGTCTAGGAGTGTCAACAGAATAGGGTGGATTTGGTAAAGTATATCGCTTTTTAGTCTATGGGTTTGTTGCTTTCTGGCTAGTTGGTTTCTTGGGAGAGATGTCCTGTGTGATTCGAAGAGAACATTTTGTAGTTGGATCACATCTCAAAATGTTTGTGTTTTACTTCTTTTTTAAGAAGCAATACCAGTTGTGCCAAGGGATGTTCTCTGGAATATCGCTGTAGCTTAGCAACACTTCTACTGTTTGTCAGTAGATGGGGCTTCAAGCACAGTTGTTTGTCCTTTGCTGGCCTCTGTGTTCCATCAGGGTCTGGTTTTTGAAAGGGAGGAAGAAGTGTGTTACAGGTGGAGATAAATTCAGTTGAATTCTGTTGCAAGGAGGTGTAAATCAGTTGCCATTAACAGTAGGACTTGGTACTAAATGTTGCTAGGTTCATTCTGTTAGCATGGATGTTGTACTAGTTGCAGCCACTTTCTCAAAATTGTTTTTTAAATCATTAATGCACTGCAGGAGTTGTTGAGTTGAGCTAGGTTGTTTGCTGCTGGCCTGGATTACATTTTAATTTTTTTTCTTCAACTGGACACTTGTATGAAATTTGCTTCTGTGTCATTAGCCTAATTATAGCGTGGGGAGTTGCAAGAGGATCTTCAGAGTTCCAGGACTTTTATGGCTGCTGAGCTCTGCAGCGTGTCAGTCAGTCAGTAATCAGTTGCTAGTCAGAAGCAGCAGCTGATGTTTCACCTCTGCCTGGTCTTGTTTTGGCTCCATTTTTGTGTACATCAGGCCAAATTGGATATTGCAAATAAAAAAGCCTTTTCCAAAATGTGAGAAGTTTGCATTCTTCTTCCTGCTTATGTGTGATTCTTTTTACATGCATATTTTCTACTCTGCTGAGTAATCTCACTTCCACTGGCTACTGTGGTTTAGCCAGGTTTTTGTTGAGCTAGGCTGACATTGGTTAGCCAGTGTTACCTGCGGTGGAATGAAGTTGGGAGCATTGTTGTGTAAGAGACATGGCCTTTTCCGCTGACTGTGAGATATACATACTGTTCCTGGAGGATACATAGTGATATCCTGGAGGATATCCCTGTTTTAGTATATTAATTCATTGCTTTCTGTCAACAGTAATTGAGAGAGCTGGAAACAAAAGCCAAGTCACATATTTCACCTTCATGTTAGTAGGTACATGTGTTCTGTAGCAGGTACTGTGGTAACATCCAGAGACTTGTTTTAAGATGCTTAACTGAGAAGTCCCACCACAATAAAACATCAGAGTTTTGAAGGCTTTGGCTCCCTTTGAAAAAATTACAGGTTAGTAGGTTCTTTTGCAGATCTATCTTTTTGTAGTTCCGTTTGGTTAGAAAGCTGTTCCTGTTTTCCTAAACAAACCTTTTTCATCTTAAAGCAGCAGAAGAATGATTGCAGAACTGTCAGATATGTATGCACATCCATATTTGTACAACTCTGTAAACATAAAATAGGAGATTGTGAGCTGAGTAATTACAGAAAAAAATAAACGGGACCAATAAAACAAACTGTTGAGGCACATATACAGCTTCTTCTGTTTTTCAAGTGCACAGCTAAATTTAAATTAACATTTGGAGAATACAATAAACCTAAAGAGCTATTTCCTCATTTCATAACAGCTGAAAAGGCATTTCAGCACAAAGGAATATTTCTTACATTTTTACTGATGTACAGACTCTGCATGATGGCTTTTGTAATACAGGATTTACTTTAAGTGGTGATTGATCGCAGATAATACATCTAACTGAAAAGCATGGACCATGCCTCTTTAATGGTATTGACAGCTGTTGTAATTGAATATCTTAATCTTTCCAAGCTGGTACATTTCCTTTACAGAATATCGTGTCACTTCATGGATGTTCACAAATGCAGTCAGAAGAGATCTCAAAGCCAAACTTTTCTCAGATTGCATGGACAAGCTTCATTTAGGATTTGATAACCAAAGTGATTCCTATGGGTTAATTCTACAATGAAAGCAGTGGTTGATCATCAGTCAAAACAGTCAGCTGCAGATTCTTAGGGAAGGAATACATTAAAAGATGTACCTCCAGAGCTGCCCTGTGTCCTTAAGCCCACCCACAAAGCTCCTGTTCTGATCTGCTTCAGTTAAAGTTCTGTGCCCAAGGTGCACACAAAGGTTGTAAAACCACATGTACTTTGCACTTCTTCTGCAGTCGTCTCTTGTACGGAGCACAAGAGGAACAATGATTGAAACAAGGAGCTGGAAGAAGCAAAGTGTTTACTTTGTCAGTCTGACTGTTCAGTTGAGATACAAATCTGAAAGTATTCACAGGAAAAAATATTAATGTCCAGAATAAGACTTTTAACTTCTCTTTGCACCTTGATAGCTAAGGACTTTTAAATTTGAAAACTGAAGAATTCCAGTACTCTTGACTAGTATTCAGGAAGTTTGCTAAGTGGGTGCAATAGCTGTTAACACACGTTATTTCATTTATCTTATTAAATTTTTTCATTGTCCTGGTGTTTAAAGTTGCCTTTTCCTGAGTTTTCAGTAACAGTAACTGAAATGAGAATTGATCAAGATGGCAGATGCATGATAACGCTGTGTGGATATCTACTGGAATCAACATGCCATAAAGAGGGAGAGGAAAGGAGTGATATCAGAGGTGTAAACATAATGAAGAGCTGTATTAGTGTCCAAAGGTCTTGCAGACTAGGTTATGCAAAGGGTTTTCAATGAAACTCAATAACTTTGGAAAGAGATGGGTATGGGTAAGGGTTTCTGGTGTTGGTGCCATGAGGACACAGCTGTCTGTACTGGTAACCTACGCTCTCGGTTTGGGATTCTAATAGTGATATGATTAGTGTGGTTTAAAATCGTTATGTCATCTTCTCTAAAATGACAGCATTCAGCTAATGAACATGATGTATAATCCACTGAAAAAGAGGCCTGAACTTACTGAAGTTTATCCTTTCTTTACATTAGCAACATTTTTGTGTTGTAGTACAGTGGGAGTAATTCCAAGAAATGAAAGTTAATTATGAAAAAGTTTTTTTCAAACACAATCTGAACTTGGAATTTTATTGCTGACGAAGAGGGAGCTCCCCTAGGATACAGTAGCCTATACATTGAAGAAACTGAGTAGTTCTCCTATATTTCAGTTAGTGCCAAGTCAGCTCAGAGGCTAATTAATCAAAACAAATTTACAATTAAGCCCAGGAAGGAAGACTAATTAAGTAGACAGTTAAGAAAAGTGCTGAAGAAGGGAGCAACCTTAAGGGGAAAGTATGAGACTTCCAGTACTGGCCCATGAAGGACAATTAAGTGATAATTGCAGAGAAATTTTTGCATCCAGCAAATGCTGTCTGCCTTTTATTATGGCTGATTTTTCTTATTAGTAGAAGCAGACATTTGCCTGATGAGCAACTAAGCTTTACTGTGCACTCTTAAAGTAATTCAGAGGTAAAGTAGAGAGGTCGCTGCAGGAACAAATTAGAACACAGCTCCCATACTTGAACAGTATTTTAGGTAGTGAAAAACCCCCGCTGTGTTTTAAAGATAAACTTGCTTCAAATGTTTTCTTTATTTGCCTTTTCATTTTGTGGCATACTGAGTCCACGTTAACATCTTGGTTAACTTTTCAAACATAATTTTCAAAAAAATTACATTAACTATCAGAATTTAGAATACCTTCATTTTGTTTGTTTGCTCACCCCACTGAAGTTCACAGAAATCATTACTTTGTCATGAAATGGTTCTGTTGCTTACATCCCTTGTATTGAGTTTGCATGGTCAGGTAGTTTGGAGGCGGGGGGGCTGCTACTGGGGGGGCTTCTGTGAGAAACTGCCAGAAGCTTCCCTCATGTCCAACAGAGACAATGCCAACTGTCCCCAGTGTGGACCTGCCACTGGTCAAGGCCAAGGCAGTCAGAGAGGGTGGTAGCACCTCTGTGATATCATTTAAGAAGGAAAAAAAGCTACTGTGCAGAAGTAATTATGGGCAGAGAAGAGAGGAGTGAGAATATGTGAGAGAAACAGCCCTGCAGACACCCAGGTCAGTGCAGAAGGAGAGGGAGGAGGTGCTCCCATCGCTGGAGCTTGAGATTCCCCTGTATTCTGTGACCGTAATTGAGTGAGTGATCTCTCCCTGTCCTCATCTCAACCCAGGAGCCTTTTGTTATGTTTTCTCCCCCCCCATCCGTCTGAGCAGCTTTGGTGGGCACCTGGCATCCAGCCAGGCTCAACCCACCACAGTCCTGCACCCAGTGCTGCATGACATACTTGTAGTTTTTGATGGAAAAAAGGAGGAGGGACCTGTAACAGGAGAATGGTTGTTACTGAAAATAATTTAGATTCTCTCCTGAAGGACTGCTTAAGCTTGCAAAGCTAATCTGTGGTGAGATGCTGAGGGCTGCAAATGAGGTGCATGCCCCAGACCTCCTGTGTCCCTCCTTGATCATTTCCATTGAACTGTGATGCTAATGTAGTACAACACCTCTCTTAATTAATTTGACTTAGCATGGGCTAAAAATTTGCTTAAATGTCCACCCTTTTTTTTGGGGCACTTATCTGGAACTTGAATTATTTCAGAAATTACAATGAAGGGTTGTATCCTCAAATATTAATAAAATGTTGATAGTAATTTCCTTTTCTTCATGAAATTCCATGTTTACATGCTGCCACTGTGATGCACTGTATCCTTCTATAAAAGTTGGCAGTTGTGTACTTGAAGTATCTGCCCAAGGTGTATTTTTGTCTCCTTTTTTCTTCTTCCTTTTCCTTGGAACAGGCTGTGGAATGAGGCATTCACCTGCCACTGTTTCAGCTCAGCTGCTGTATCAAGTTTCAGTCTGCTCCTTCATTTTTTGTCTTGCTGCCTAAACTAATTTCTTGCCCTATTTGGATGCATTTCCCTTACCAAAGGTTTCCTTTTTGTCTTTTTGCTGCTTGCAGGGATTGAATAAATTTTTTAACTCAGTTCCAGGTATTTGAATTATTTCAGAGGTGTTCTTGTACCTGAAGGTTCCTTTGCTGCCTCTCCTACAAGTTTTGTACATGCCCTGGCAAAGCTCCCAATTTCACTCTCAGAGAAGTGATGCAAAGCTTTCTTTGGCCTCCATTCTTTGTAAGGCTTTTGTGTAGTTTTAATCTCAAGAAGGTCATTTTAGGATGTCACTGGCAAGGTGTTTGCTGTTGTCATCATCTGCTGTTTTCCTGGCTGCAGAAACAGAACTGAGACTGCTTCAGGCCTGCGTGGTTGCCCTTGAACCTCATCCATCTGTTGAGGCTGACTCTGTAGTGCTGAAAGAATCCATCCCAGCGCTGCTCCCCATGGCCAGACTTATCCCAGAGCCTCGTAACGCTGTGCTTCTTGCTCCTCTTGTAGCACTAATTCAGTATGCTGGTGACTTCCTTTGCCTTGGCACAATCTTACCATGGCTCTGCCATCACTTAGGCACCATGCCATACCCTGATTTTGCATTGGCAGGTTAGTCCAGGCATTCACCTGCTCTTACATCTTCATTCCTCTTGCCAGTGGGAATGCAGTTTGGCACCAGCTGGTTTTGGCACAGAGGTCTAGCATGGCAGCACATGCCCACTGCTGCAGATGTGGGTGTGGATCTAAGTGCCCTCTCACACCCTGTTGCTGCTTGACTATTCTGGTAAATGCCAGGACATAGTAATCTTCCTGGGCTTTGATGTTTCTGCGGTGTCTAAGAGGGAGTCTAGACTGAATGAGCTGTAAAGCTTGGGTAGCCCCTCAGGATCAGCTTCATTCACTTCTCTTGGAGATGGAGCTGAGACCTGCCAAGCTCATTTGATATATCCTTCCATGTGGAACTGCTCTGTCTACATAGTTCAGAACCTTTTATCTCTGTTCTGTCTTACCCAGTGCCATGGGTGGGAGTGTGTATTTCTAAAGCATGTTAGAGTATTTGTGTACACACTTGGCATCCTCGTTGTTGTGGTAGCCGTGGAGAGGTCAAGAGGTACAGAAGAGATCAGGAGACAGAAGCTCGTATGTGGCGAAAGAGTGCAACTGGATACAGGTGGTCCTGCTTGAGCAAAGTGTTGGACCAAATGCCTTCCAGAGCTTCTCTCCAATCTCAGCCATCCTGTGAAGTCGGAGACTCCCATGCTGTGGAAGCTGCTCTTCTAGAAGTATAGTTCATGCTTGTATTGGGAAGACCCTGATGCTTTACACCTCAACTGGAAAGCAGCGTTTTCCATGTTGCACTGCAGGCCATCCGTGTGGGGTGTGCCAGAGCGCTTAGCTGCTGGTGAATGGCCACTGCTATCCATTTCTCCACAGTAAAGGACAAAAGGTGCATGCTGAGTTGTGCTGCAGCTGTCAGCTTTGACTTCCCCTTTCTGGTCTTTGCCCTGAGGAGTCCCTCTAAGGCAGACACATACCTGGGTTTGATGAGAAGTCCACTGCTCAGTTTGGGCGAATTAGCTAACAATCTTCTGCACGTAACATTTTACAAAAATGTATTTTGATAGTGTTATTTCCACTTAAAATTCTTAACAGCAGTCTTCATTCTGTGCGGGCTTTAAACCAGCTTGAAATTTGTGCAGTCCAGGCTATCAAGTGGCTGCTTTTCCCATATAACTCTACATGTGGAGTAACAGTCCTCAGCTGTGACTTGGTGTGGTGAGTTGCATCAGACGTTATTGTCTCAGCAACAGTTTTAATTCTTGGATATTTTCCCTATTGTAAGCAGTTTTGCGTGACCTTTGGGGCTGTGGACCAGAGATTGGGGACCATTTGTGTAAACCTGAGTTTAAATGAATTAAAATACACACAAGATTTCTATAAAAATAACATGAAACTCACATGCATGCTAAATACTGAGGCCTCTAAGTCCTTCACACAATACAGCTTTTTGAATTAGAAATAGCATAAGAAAATACATGCAGAGCAAGTGTCAGTGCCACAACCAGGTGTGATTTTGACAGCTTCAAATTTTGCACAGATGAACACATTTGTCAGAGACCACTGTTAGTTAAATTAAATTAGGCTAATGTGCTCTTTTGAGCATAATTGAAATTATACTAATATTTTTATTGATTTGGCACCAAAGTAGGTGAATGCTCTGATGTCCTTGCTGCTGTGAGTACAATTTGCTGTTGTTCACTTTACTGTAGGGTAATTCCCCAATATTATGGCACAGATAGGCCTATTTTTAACTGTGTTAATTGGAACGAATTTCTGTTCTTTTTATAATTTAGACCAAAAGCAAGAAATACATTGTTGGATACCTCTTCCCCATAACTTTACCTGCAAATTGAAGATCATCTAATGCAAAGGAATTCTAAAGAACACTGAAGGTTTTCATCTGACACTCCAGTTTTAGGGGCAGGTTGTTTCATTGATCTTAAAGATCTTTCTTCTGTGTAAATAGTAAATACACAGCTTGTTGCAAATTATTTTTTCCTTTGTATCAATAAATATTAAGTAATGCAAATCAGTTTTGATCTCTTTGATTTTAAATAACTTTAGAATTGATTTTCTAGCTTTCCATGTGTTTTTGAAAATGCAGGTAGTTGTATGAGTTTGACTTGTAAATATTTATAGATAATGTAAGTTATCTTGAGTGGTTTCAGAGATGCCACCAACTGAAATTTTTCAACTCTTTCTTTAGAGTTGTTTAAACTTTCAAAAGGGATTGGAAAGTAAAATAGTTTCCATTGGAAAGAATCATAGAATCATTAAGATTGGAAAGTAAAATAGTTTCCATTGGAAAGAATCATAGAATCACTAAGATTGGAAAAGACCTTTAAGATCGTCGAGTCCAACGATTAACCCAGCACTACCAAATCCATCGCTAAACATGTCCCTAAGTGCCACATCTACACGTCTTTTAGATACCTCCAGGGAAGGTAATTCCACCACTTTCCTGACCAGTCTGTTCCAATGTCTGACCACCCTTTCAGTGAAGAAATTTTTCCTAATATCCAATCTAAACCTCTCCTGGTGTAACTTGAGCCTGTTTGCTCTTGCCCTGTCACTTGTTACTTGGGAGAAGAGACCAAGCACGACTTGGCTGCAGCCTCCTTTCTGGTAGTTGAAGAGAGCAAGGTGGTCTCCCTGGAGCCCTTGGCCTTGTTGAACCTCTGATACCAGTGCAGATGAGACGTGAAAAAACAATATTCCTAGTTGATGGGGGCTTTGGTTGCAGTTTGAATCCC